CATTATTGTTGTTTGGCGGGTCCGGGCTGGATTTGAACCCACCACCTTTGGTGTATGTGGCTGGCACCTTAGCTGTTTGAGCCATAGGCGCCAAGCCAATTAAGAATATCTTAATTCTTTTTTTTTGCAGTTTTTGGCCAGGGCCAGGTTTGAACATGCCACCTCTGGTATATGGGGCCAGCACCTTCTTCCTTTGAGCCACAGGAGCCGCCCATCTTAATTCTTTTTTCTATTTCAGACTTGCCAACCTTAGAAAACTAGCAGCAAACAAATATCCCGAGAATGTCAAAACCACAAAACATATAGATAATTGTTAGACTTCTCCTTTTAAAAAAGAAAGTTTAGGCTTGGCACTTGTTGCTCAGTGGTTAGGGCACTGGCCACATGCACCAGAGCTGGTGGGTTCAAACCCGGCCAGGGCCTGCCAAACAACAATGACAACAATAACCAAAAAATAGCCGGGCATTGTGGTAGGTGCCTATAGTCCCAGCTACTGGGAGGCTGAGGCAGGAGAATCACTTAAGCCCAAGAGTTTGAAGTTGCTGTGAGCTGCAACACCACAGCACTCTACCGAGGGTGACATAGTAAGACTCTGTCTCAAAAAAAAAATGAAGTTTAAGGGTTACAGTTATTTTAGAATTTGTAAATCCAGTGAAAATCAGAAAAACCCACACACAAAGAAAAATATGAAGTTTAAAGTTTAAGAAACATCTCTGGTTCAATTAACAATTCTAATCACAAAGAAACTAGCCAATTTCTCTAATATCTTAATTTTGAAGTTTATTTATAGATGTGCCTAAGAGATAGTTCATTTGCATTAAGAGAAAAAAGTATAAAAATCTCATTTATGCCCTTCATTTAGTCCTACTGGATATACGCGATGAGTCAGAGGAGGGGAGGCATAAAGGTTCAAATCCTGATCATGCAACTTTAGCGATGACCCTGCACAAGTAACTTAACAAATAAAACTTAACATCAGTTTCCTCAGCTGTGAAAATAATATCTTCCTAATAGAGTTGTTGTAAGGATCCAATAAGTTACTTCACATAAAGCATTCAGAACAGTACTGGCATATAATCGGTGCATATTTACATGTATTAACTCATTAAAAAATGTATTCAACTCTACTCAACAGATCGTGTCTATTTAATTAGTCTTTCAACACACGTCCTTAATTACAGGATTTCTCAATGCTTCTTCCTCTGTAACACATGGTTCTATCTAACCCCCAGTTTCCATCCTAAAGCCACCTGGGTTATGTGAAGTCTCATCTGATGCTGCATCTGACTGTGCTATCTTGCCCAAGGGTACTATAATTCTGAAGTGGCATTTCTTACCTCCGTTTCTGTCATTTCTGCTACAATCTCATCTTCTTTAAAAACTCGAATGTCAAAATCCTCAGAGCCAACAAGAAGCTGAATGGGGAAAAAATTACACACATTTAGTTTGGTGAGTGAAAACAGCAAAATTTCCCATATATAAAACAAAAAAAGGCACAATGCCTTGCATGCTATTACTGCCACTCAAGAGTTCCAATCCCCCAATAATTCAATGCTCAAGAAGGTTCTCTCTATGGAAGGATCAACAGATTCAGTCAGTAAAGAAAAAAGTAGCTATTATAGCTTTTAACCTGCCAAGTGGTTACACATCTTGCCAGAGGACATTTCTTCTCTGAGCACCTGAAAATGCTCCCTGGTTCAGTAACTCCCTCTGCCTGCAGATGGAAGCCCTGTTTCAAATACCAGAGCCCCAAGATCCATGGACAAGAGGGGCAAGTTAGTGCCAAACACAGGACTTCATACCTATTAATGACACAAGCAGCTAATTTCTACACTATTAGAATAATTTCAAAGGCTAAGAGCCAATCTCTAAAACTTTTAGATGTCCGAAAAAGTAGGCCAAAATTGAGACTACTTACAAATATGCTTTCAGAGTATCAGAAGCAATTTACAAAGCTGTGAATATGACTGAGGTCCCATCAACTGTTCTGCCCTCTCCGGTGTCTGTTTTTTATTTTAAATCATCCTGCCCCAAATGTCACCTCCTGTGACTTTGAAACACCATGGCCTTGATCTCTGTATTAGACAACACAAGTTATTTATTGTTCAAAAGAGAAGAAAAAGACAAATGAGGCCAGTTAGCTCATCATTTAGCAACTGAGCTCCAAAATCAGCCATGAGATGAAACACCTCCCTCAAAACTAATGTCACTGTCATGGGAAAAATTATTCAGCTGAACACACAAGAGAGAGATTTCTTCCCCCACGTACCTCTTTCTTCCCATCACCATCAAAGTCACACAAGGCCAAGGAATGAACATTGTCTCCAGTAACCTAAAAATAAAACCCAAGTCATTAATATGCCATCATTTTTTCACTTACTCCAGATATATAAGCTACATGAAGGAGATGATACAAGTGAGTATTATTCAAATTATTCATATCCTTTTTAATACTATTAAAAATAGTGTTCTATTTTGTTTTTTATTTTTCAGTACAGTCAGTGGTTAAAAAAAGACACAAAACAACATTAAAAGTAAAGTTGCTTAAGAGTACCAGAAAGAATAGTTTGTCCTCCATACCGTCCAAAAGAGATCATTTCCTTCCTGATCAAAACCTTGCAGGGCACAATTTCCTCCAATAATTGCAAGAGGAGAAGAAATGTCTCCCAGGGTTCCCAAAACAATGGCATTTGCCCCATCTGCTATCTAAAAGAAAAAACAGGCGCATTATCTCAGAGACAATGATGTGCAGGCATACTGAAGGTAATATGCATCCATACTTTTATTTGGACTCTCAAATTCCTCTGTCATCATTAGTGAGAAACACATGAACTCTGAAGAGAGCAGCCAGGGCTGTCCACTAAGAACTGCCACTGTGGCTTCTGCAAGGATGAGCAAGATCTAAGGTAAACTCAGGACCTTGGTTCTCATGCTAAGCTGCTACAATAAACTGCTAAGATAATTCCAGGCTTTCTGAAACTGCAGGTTCTAGAGGCCAAATTCTTGAGAATTCTGGGAAGATGGCCGACCAGTAGCAACCCTCAGCAGAGGCCCCAAACCAGAAGGACAAAAACTAGACAGAATTGGACTCTTTAAGTAGGAAAACTACAAAGATTATCTATACAGGAAAACAAAAGAATTCATAAGAAATTAAGAATATTAAATGGCCAGTCAATCAAAAAAATAAAGTTAAATGGTAAACAATGAACTATAGGGGGAAAAAAACACAATATGTAAGAAAAGGTTAATATTTTTTGTTAATAAAAAGTTTATAAAAGGCAAATAAATAAGAAAAGGGTAAACACCTCAAGCAAAAAAATAAAAGGAAAAGAAATTCACTAGAGAAGAACTACAAACAGCTAACATGAAAAATATTCATTCTCACAATACATCATTTCTTGCTTTTCAAAGTAGCAATGAAAAAAAGACAATAATATCCATTGTTTGTTAAAGTTGTTGTAAAACAGGCAGTCTCATATTCTGAGGTGGAGGTGGAAAATAGTAGTTTTTCTAGAGAGCAATTTAGCAATATCTATCTAAAATCTCATTTTTACTCAACAATAATTGACTCAAATATAGTTGAGTCCCTGTGATGCTAATTTTATGTATCAACTTGACTAGGCCACAGTACCCAAATATTTGACCAAATATTATCCTAAAGTTGCTGTGAGGATACTTTTTAGATGAGATTAACATTTCAATCAGTAGACTTTGAGTAAATCACATTACTTTCCATGATGTGGGTGGGCTTCATACAATAAGTTGAAGGTCTTAACAGCAAAAAGACTGACCTGCCCCAGGCAAGAAGGAATTCTCTTTCTGACAACCTTCAGAACCTTCAGGCTAGAGCTTTATCATCAAGTCCCCTGAGTCTCCCACCTACTCACCTACCATGCAGAGTTTAGACCCCTAGCCTCCACAAATCTTGTAAGCCAATTCCTTAAAATAAATCCTTTCCCCTCTTACATCCTATCAGATCTGTTTCTCTGGAGAACCCTAACTAATATACTCTTAAACTTGATTTCAGTCTTGAACAACACAGGAGGAGTTTCTTTGTAACCCTGAAATAGACAAAGATTTCTTAGAAAAAAAAAATAGCAACCATTAAAGAAAAAAACTGACCAGCTAAACTTCACCAAAACTGAACACTTTTGCTCATCAAGACATCTACCTACAGGAACAAGCCACATTTATCATTAAATCTGCAAAAGAACTTGTATCTAGTATATCTAAAAAATGACAACAAATCAGTAATAAAGAGATGTACTATCAATAAAAAACAAGCAAGAGACTTCCGACACTTCACAAAAGATGACACATAAATGGGCAATAAGCACAAGGTAAGGTGCTCTCTGTCACTGATCACCAGGGAAATGCAAAATCAAATGACAGTAAAGTACCAATTAGGCCTTCTAAATGTCTAAAATACCAAATCCTAACAAAGGATGTAGAGCAGCGGTTCTCAACCTGTGGGCCGTGAGCCACAGGAACTGTATTAAAGGGCACCAGCATTAGGAAGGTTGAGAACCACTGATGTAGAGGACCTGGAACTCTCATTGGTGCATGCTGTAAAATGATGCAGCTGCTTCGGAAAAAGAAACAGTCTTGCAGCCTCTGATAAAAGTTGTTTTTTTTTTTTTTTTTTTTAAACAGTCTCACTATGTCATCCTTAGTAGAGTGCCATGGAGTCACAGCTCACAGCAACCTCAAACTCTTGGGCCTAAGCAGATTCTCTTGCCTGAGCCTCCCAGATAGCTGGGACTACAAGCGCCTGCTACAATGCCTGGCTATTTTTTTGTTGCAGTTGTCATTGTTGTTTAGCAGGCCCGGGCTGGGTTCAAACCCACCAGCCAGGGTGTCTGTGGCCGGCACCCTATGCACTGAGCAACAGGCGCCGCCTTCTTATAAAGTTTTTATAAACTATACAGCTCAGTGATTCCACTCCTGGGTACCTACCTGAGATAAATTAATTCAAACATATGTCCACAAGAAGTCTTGTACAAAAATGTTTATACCAATTTTATTCATAATTAACAAAAACTGAAACCAACCCAAAACATCCACTTGTCTATCATCAAGAGAAGCAATATCTAGTGTGATATACTTACCCAACTGAATATACCCTCAGTTACTCAGCAACCAAATATAACAATATGCATGATTCTCATAGACAATATATTGAGTAAAAGAAGTCAGACATCAAAGAGTACATTCTATACAGTTCTATTTGTATGGAGCTCAAAATGGGAAAAGCTAATCTAAGCTGACAGAAATCAGAACAATGATTGTCTATGGAAAATGGAAACGAACTAGAATGGGACACAGTATTTTCTGAAGTGATGAAAATGCTCTGTATTTTTGTTGAGGTTGTTAGTTACATGGATCAAAACTCAGTGAATTGTACACTTAAAGTTTGTATATCTTACTATACATATAATACATTTTACCTCAATAAAAAATATTTTTAGGCTTAGCGCCTATAGCACAGTGGTTATGGCACCAGTCACATACACTAAAGCTGGCGGGTTTGAACCTGGCCTGGGCCAGCTAAACAACAATGACAACTGCAACAAAAAATATCCGAGTGTTGTGGCAGGCACCTGTAGTCCCAGCTACTTGGGAGGCTGAAGCAAGAGATCACTTAAGCCCAAGAGTTTGAGGTTGCTGTGAGCTGTGATGCCACAGCACTCTGAGGGAGACATAGTAAAACTCCGTCTCAAAAATAAAATAAAATAAAAAATATTTTTAAAAAGTATTTGCAGTTCTAGGAACTTATCCTTGGGGAATAATCAGAGAAGTGGGCAAAGATATGCTTATTAAAGTATCAACTATAATAGATTAACAATGGAAATAACATAAATGTTCAAAACTGTGAAACTGGTTATATAAATTATGATATATTAACACAATGAAATACTATAGAACCAATAGTTTTTATCCATGATATAAAAATGTTCACAATAAATTACTGAATAAAAAGGCCACATGTAATAGCCAGAGAGTGGAATGTCTATTAATAGATAAATAAAATGTGATATATATATATACACAATGGAATATTAGCCATAAAAAGGAATGAATTACTGACACATGTTACAACATAAAACAACTTGAAAATATTATACTAAGAAAATAACAGTCACAAAAACACACATATATATGATTCTGTATTTATGATATGTTCAGAGTATGTAAACCTATGGAGACAGAAAATAAATTACTGGTTGTCTAAGGTTAAGGAGGTTAAACCTATTTAAACCTATTATGGGGGAGGAAGTAAAAGGCTTTGTGTGTGTGTATGTGTATGTGTGTGTGTATGATACCATTTTATAAAAAAAATTACTCTTTTATAATTGGTAAAACATCTGGATAAATAAATTTAAGGGTTAAGTGTTAGTTCCAGATGAAGAAATTATGGGTAATTTTTTTTCTTTTTGCTTCCCTATCTTATAATAAATATGTATTAAAGTTACAGTCGCCTATAAATGGCAGGCTACAGAAAGGACTTCTCCTACAAACTACTATATATACTAAACTTCAATGCAAGGCCACCAAAAGATCTGGTTGCTGGATTCCCAGCTCTTGGCTCAAATCTCTATAGATCTTAACAGATGGTGGAATCACAGATATACCTCCCAGAGATAAGCCAGACAGTCATCAAGTGGTTACCAACCTTGACCAAACAAATAAGTTCCAAGTGCACAAAGCAGATGCAAATGGCAAACTCTCCTTGCTGTCTGACTACACCGTAACAGCCACACAGTTAACAAACCCACATAAATGCCTGATCTCTTTTAGGCATAACAAGCCAATAGACATTAAAAAGCCAATGGGGATTTTATGGTTATGAAGAGTTATACTTGCCTCTCTGTAGAATAAATCTGAATTATTGTAGACATCATAAGCCAAAAGATTAGTCTGTGTCCCCACTAGAAGAGCATCATAGCCAAGCTCGGGGTTCAATACCCCTGCAGTCAGGCAGCTGACTGCCTGGTTAATGTTGAGAAGAGAAACATCAGACTCCAGAGGACTCTGGAAGACCCTGGATGTACTGAAATGCTGGCCTCGTGTATGAGGATTGTGAATAAAAACCTAAAACAAAAACAGTTAATTATACTCCCTTAAAATGTCAAACATGGAAGATTAATATCATATTTTTTAAAGAACCACATTAACAGATTAACAACATTAACACTTTAATCTACAAAACTTAAAACATTTATATAGTTCTATGCATGGCCAACCTTCAGTCATTATAAACTACGGAAATTCAGTGGTATTAAAATATGGGGAAATGTTCATATCTTTAAAAAGCTCCATGATAGAACAATGTATTTTTAAAAAGGATAGAAAACATTGGACTAGAGAGCCCATAAGCCCTCCTAGTTCTAAAATGTGTTAATTTTAAATAAATACTTTATCTCTTTGGTATAAATCAATATGGGATTAATTTTAGAGTATTAGCTACCCAAGGCAGCTAATTCAACAAAAAATAATTTTCAAAAGAATTGACTATAAACATATAGAAAAGGTGTACAGGTACTGAATATTACTTTCATGTTCTCATTTGTGTGATACACATACCCTACCACATGCTTTAATAAACACTCTTTGCATTTGTTTTGTTTTGTTTTTTGAGACAGAGTCTCAAGCTGTGGCCCTAGATAGAGTGCCGTGGTGTCACAGCTCACAGCAACCTCAAACTCTTGGGCTTAAGCGATTCTCTTGCCTCAGCTTCCCAAGTAGCTGGGACTATAGGCACCCACCACAATGCCCAGCTGTTTTTTAGTGGCAGTTGTCAGTGTTGTCTGGCAGGCCCGGGCCAGGCTCAAACCCACCAGCCTCGGTGTATGTGGCTGGCACCCTGCTCACCGAGCCCACTAATTGCATTTGATCCTCCCCCTGGTTTACAGATGAGGTCAGAGGAGAAAGGGCCCCTTCCCAAGGTCTTGAGTCTAGGAAAAGACAGAGCTAAGACCAGAAGCCTGCTATGCTGCAGACTCTAAGCTCTAGCTACCATCTTACACTCTGGTTTTATAACAGTCCTGAGCAAAAGAACTCTTACAGAGTTTCCCAGTCTAAGAAAGAACAGGAGGGGCAATAACTTAATGGGCTCCATATTTATTGTTATTGGAATACAAAGTTTGTGATTTTTTTTATTTTTAAATATTACCGGGTGCAAATGTTTTTGGTTATATGGGTTCCTCTTGTAATACTTGAATCAGGGTTGTAAGTGGGCCCATCACCCAGAAAGTGTTCATTGTACTTGTTAGGTAGGTTTTTGCTGGTCCCCGCCTCAAAGTTTGTGATTTTTGCCAAAAGCAGCAAGGGTCCCAGGAGTCAGACTTCTCCCCAGTTCGCCTCCTGCTGTTCTCCGCACACAGAGAGTCACCAAGGAGGATGTGCCTCTCCCTTCAGGCAAGAAAAAAGCCAACCTCAGGCACATGACAATTAATGAGGACCCTGGGCTAAGAGCATAACACCACCATACTACTTAATGAGAATGAATCATGACCTTTTACTTATACTTCCCAAGGATATCACTTAACACGAATCACGGGTGGAAAATGTCTTGAAAATATAAATCATTACACAAACGCTAGTTTAGGAACATACACTCTGATTACATTTGCATTACTTTCCAGTTGAGTGGCCTCAGGTGCTGCATTGAACTTCTCTGAAACTTATTTTTGTTAAACAGGCCCAGGCAGTTTGAACCTGTCACACTTGGTGCACAGGTCCAGCACTCTAACCACTGCGCCTTTAACTCTCTTATTTCTAATCAGTGAAGTTGGCGACATAAAAAGAAAATACCAGCTAACAATTAGTGACCACTTCTTACATGCCAAGATCTTTACATACGTTGACTTATTTAATCCTCACCCTATGTGTGAGGTACTATTTTTAAGTACCTTCCCCAAGGTCATGAAATTAGTAGGTACTAGGGGCAGGATCCACCAAATATGTGCTAGGTTACTGCCCTTGGCCTTGTAGCAAATAAGCTGAGATAATTAGTGTATTAATGTAAGACTTTGTATGTGTTAGAAGCTATTACTCTTGGTGTCACTGTGTTCCACACATTTGGATGTGCCTCCATCCACCCAGAATTTTACCTGAAAAGCAGACACTCCAACTACATCTCTGAATCCACAAAATGTAGTATAAACGAAGTATTTAGTCTAAGTCTGGTGAATGCTGAATATCTTTTTTGTCTCCGTGAAATACGCCTTGCACAGTACCGGGCACACAGTACTTAGTGAATAAAGTAAAGGGAAAGCCCATAATGTACGTGAACAAGGGTCAGAAGTGCAATCTGTTAATTCAATTTAGGTGTGTTTTTCCCCCCGTACAGCAGTGTGAGAGAATGGAAGGAGTTTCAAGTGACAGGCAGAGAGGCCTATTACTGTCTATTACTACTAGCCCTGACTTCCTTTCTGGAGGATTCGCTTCCCTAAGCTCCCTAACAATAGAACTAGGACTCCCAACACCCTCTGACTACCTGCTCAAAAAAGATGTCCCTGGCTGGGCGCGGTGGCTCACGCCTGTAATCCTAGCACTTTGGGTGTCCGAAGAGAGAGAATCGCTTAAGGCCAGGAGCTCAATTCCAGCCTGGACAACATAGCGAAACCCTGTCTCTATAAAAAAATAAAAAGAAAGAAAGAAAAAGCCGGCGTGGCGGCCTGGGGCCTGCAGTCCTACGTACTCAGGGGGCTGAGCCAAGAGGATCGCTTAAGCTGGGCAGTTCCAGACTGCAGTGGGCTGTGATCACGCCACTGCACTTAAGCATGGATGACAGAAGGAGACTCTGTCTCAAAACAAAAGCAAAGCTGTTCCTGGAAGACCCCATTATTCTTCGTAGGAAGGAGAGCTACCCAGAGACCGCCAAGCAGTTGCCCGGCAACACCGGCTGGGGGCGGGGTCGGAGGCGGGGGCGGGGTCGAGGGGCGCTGCCCACGGAGGTCCGCGGGTTCCAGGGGCCCCGGCTCAGTGCGAGTGGGAACCGTTACCTTGCCCGCTTGGGTGGCGGCCGCCAAGCACGGGTGAGTCCCGTCGTAGCGCCCTATGGCCACCATGCGGGGGCTGATTTTGTGGCGCAGTTTCAGGGTGAACACGGGCAGCAGCATGATGGCGGCGGCTTAGGGAAGGAAGGCTGACGACCCGAGGCGGGCGCAGCGGAGCCGGCCTGGGCAGCCACGACGAGAAACTCGAGGACAAGACCTGCCCAGCCCCAGCCGCCTCCAGCTGGGCGCAAAAGACCCCAGGCCGACTCTAGGTGCCGCTGGCTCCTTCTGCGGTTGCGCAGACCCGTCCATCCTTTTCTGCGGCTGCGTGGTCGCGTTTCACCGCTTTCTGCGACTGCGCGGTTGGGCCTCGACGTGGCCGAGGCTGCTGTTACCTGCTGGTGATGGAGTTTTGTGTTTTGCTGCTGTAACTTACCCGGGTTAACTTCAACTCCACCGCTGTGGCTGCTGGGCGTATTTGAGCCAGTGCACCTCCGGAATTTCCCCTTCTAGCACCACACGCGGTCTGCATCCCTGCAGGCTCCACGCACTGTTACCCCAATCCGGAGGGCCATTAATTCAAGAAGTAACTTAATGAGTGCCTATTCTGTCCCATGCTTGAGCCATTACGTCGAGTCAAACCATGGCAGTTAGTTACCTGCACTAAGTATATCAATCCTCTCAAAAGAAAAATAAAAAACATGCTTTGACTCAACGTTTGAATAGGGCCCCTTGTAAGACTTCCTATGTATTTTTAAATACAAACATGTAAAATTTAAAAGTTGTGAGCATTCATTGACTAGTACTTCTCTTTTCAGGGTCTATTGTATGTGTCAGGCACAGTTCTAGAGCAACTAAAGACAAATCACTGCTCTCCTGCAACTGACATACTAGTCAAGGGAGACAAGCACTAAAAAAATAAATGTACACGTCATTTGGTAGCAAGCACCATAGAGAAAATGAGAAGGAAGAGTCGATGGAGGTTTGGAGGATATATTTTTAAATAGGTGGAACAAACCCACAAGAAAGTGACATTTAGGCAAGGACTTGAAGGGAGTGAGAGCCAGCCCAGACGGAGAGTGTTTCAGCAAAGGAAATTCAGGTCAAAGGCCCGGAGGGATCCCTCTGGCTGCTTTCTGGAAATAGACGTTTAGTAAGGAGTGATAAGATGAGCAAGTACCACCAGAGGTGACTCAGAAGGAGCAGAGAGTGAGGAAGCAGAAGTAGGCGAGTATCGTGTCCTGAAAGCTAAGGGAAGAGAAGGTGTCCAGGAGGCAGAAAATAACAACTGGGTCAGATGCTGCAGGACTTACAGATGAGTTCTGAAATTTTTTTTTTTTTTTTGAGAAAGAATCTTACTATGTCACCCTCAGTAGAATGCAGTGCGTCACAGCTCACAGCAACCTCAAACTCTTGGGCTTAAGGGATTCTCTTGCCTCACCCTCCCAAGTTGCTGGGACTATAGGCACCCGCCACAGCACCCAGCTATTTTTTTGTAGTTGCAGTTGTCACTTTTGTTTGGCAGGCCCAGGCTGGGTTCAAACCTGCCAGCCCCAGTGTATGTGGCCAGCGCCCTAGGCACTGAGCTACAGGTGCTGAGCCGAGTTCTGGAATATTCTTTTTTTTTTTTTTTTTTTTTGAGACGGAGCCTCAAGCTATCCCCCTGGGTAGAGTGCCATGGCATCACGCTCACAGCAACCTCCAACTCCTGGGCTCAAGCGAGTCTCCTGCCTCAGCCTCCCAAGTAGCTGGGACTACAGGCGCCCGCCACAATGCCCAGCCATTTTTTGGTTGCAGCCATCATTGTTGTTTGGCAGGCCCAGGCTGGGGATTCGAACCCGCCACCTCAGGTGTATGTGGCTGGCACCTTAGCCACTTGAGCCACAGGCGCCGAGCCATGGAATATTCTTGATATTTGCATTTTGTAAACTACAGTTGTACAAATGAGTATCTTTTTTCAAACCTGTTGGTGTGTCTGTGACTACTCATAAACTCTTTTGGAGATAATGCCAAAAGACTAGAGGGTGTTGATGGAATGTAAGGCCTGAACCAGTGACCCTCCAGGCCCCCTCTAGTAAACAACACCTCTGAGATCACCCAGTCCCTTTCTGCTCCATCCTCATTCCCTCTTATGTCACTTGTGTAGATTCCACATCCTGTAGCAGCTCCCTGATCAACCCTGGCATAGAGATTGCTCTGGGTCCTTCTGCCCTTGTCTATCAGAACTTACTTAATTTTGTGAAGTCATTTCTCTTTAGCTCCCAGATGGTCTGCACTAAGTCATCAGCTCCCTGAACTCACTCTGCTGTGCTAATAGCTGATCACAGTTTGATAGGCCGTGTCTTCCAAGAACAACTTGAAAGGAATGAATCTCTAATGGAGATCATTCCAGGACTTTGATTTTTTTTTTCCGATAAACATTTATTGAGCTTCTCTATATTCCAGACAGTGAGTGGAGCATGGGATGGGGGCTTAGGCTGTGCCTGCCACCGGCCATTCCCTCTCATTGTTCTCACCTTGAGTTTGCAAAATATTCCCACTAGAGGGTGTACAGGTGTAAAAAACGGAGATAGGCACCTGAAGATGTGATTAAAACCTGGAAGGAGGCTGGGTGAGGGGGCTGCAGTGCTCACCCCTGAGGAGAGGAGTTGGACAGAGAGGCCATCTGAAAGACCTCTGCCCTTTTCTTTATGCACTGTCGTATTTGCTGGGTTTTTTGTTTGTTTGTTTGTTTTGTTTTTTGAGACAGAGTTTCACTTTGTTACCCTTGGGAGAGTGCCATGGCATCATAGCTCACATCAACCTCAAGCTCTTGGGCTCAAGTGATTCTCTTGCCTCAGCCTCCCCAGGTGCTCACCACAGTGCCCAACTATTTTTAGAGACAGGGTCTCAATCTTGCTCAGGCTGGTCTCGAACCTGTGAGCTCAGGTAATCCACCTGCCTCGGACTCCCAGAGTGCTAGGAGTACAGGAGTGAGCCACTGCACCTGGCTGTATTTGTGTTTTTGCAATGAGCTTGTTTTACCTTTTTTTTTTTTTTTTGTCTTTTTTGAGACAGAGTCTCACTTTATCACCTGGAGTAGAGTACAGAGTGTCATAACTTATAGCAATCTCAAACTCTTGGGCTCAAGTGATCGTCTTGCCTCAGCCTCCCAAATAGCTGGGACTACAGGCGCCCACCACAACACCTAGCTAATTTTTCTGTTTTTTAGTACAGATGGGATCTCACTCTTGCTGGTCTTGAACGCCCCAGCTCAACCAATCCTCCCTCCTCAGCCTCCCAAACCGCTAATGCAGCGGTTCTCAACCTGTGGGTCACAACCCACAGGAACTGTATTAAAGGGTTGCGGCATTGGGAAGGTTGAGAGCCACTGTGCTAGGGTTACAGGTGTGAGTCACCACGCCTGGCCTCTTGTTTTACTTTTATAATTAAAAAAACCTTTAAAGTAGTGATGTGAAGATGAAGGGTTGTCTGTGGATTTCAGGGATGCAAATTCATAGCCTCTCCCCACCCCAATTGTCCCAGAAACTGGCCTATTTAAGGACCCCAGTCTCAGGGTTCCCCAAACTCTTTAAAGGGACTGGCTATTAGGACCCTCCCCAATTCACAGAGGGGCAGGGGCCTGGAGACCCCCGGAGCAGAGCAGACTGTACAGGGCTGGGCTCCGTAAGCAGTTTCCTCCTGGCTTCCTTTCAGGAGCAGTCCTCCCAGGCTCCTGCTCTACCATCTTTTATCGCCGGATCCCCATTTTAGATCCTGGTAACTCTAATGTGTCTGCTGCGGGCCACGGGAGCGAGGCTGTCCACGTTGGTCTCTTCTGTCAGCCCGTTTCACACATGCGAGAAATGAAGAAAGGAGGATCTTATGTTCAAAGTCACATATGAAAAACAAACAGCCACCTCCAGTCAATAGACAGGGAGGAAAGCAAGCTAACAGTAATAATAATAAAAAAAAATAACTAACATGTTTTGTGCACTTGCTACATGCCAGACTGCGAAACTCTTTACTTGTATTATTATATCAGTTAATCCACACAATTACCCTATAAAATAGGTAATAGTATTATCCCCATTTACAGATGCAGAAACTAATTTCAACCCCCAATTCCCTTGACCCCCCGTGCCTCCTACTGAACTGGTAGGAAACGCCGAGGAAGTCCCTGTTAGTTACCCCTGTTCTTTACCTCAGAGACCCATCAGAACCAGGGAGACCTAGTAGGGCCAGAAAGAGGCGGAGAGTCCCTGACCTCCAGTCTCTCATGGTTGCTGCAAGCAGCCCTGCATCACCCAACCAACCAATATCATTGTCTAAGCTCCCAGGAGCCTCTTGTATGGGGACTTTCTGATACTTTTATGGACTTAACACTCCCAAGCATTTCAGTACCAGGGTCCTATATCCCTCAGAGAAGCATGTGGCCCCCCTCTCAGGGCTCTTGACTCATTCCCAAGTGATACCAGGTTCCCCAATGTTTCCTAGATGCTTGTAGATTAAGTCTGTGGATAATCTCAGGAACAGATACTGAGGTTTAGACTAAGTGAGAAAGCATTAAAATTGGATCACTTGGGGCTCAGCACCTGTAGCTAAGTGGTTAGGGTGCTAGCCACATACACCGAGGCAGGCAGGTTCAAACCTGGCCCAGGTCTGCTAAACAGTGATGACAACTGTAACAACAACAACAAAAATAGCTGGGCGTTCTGGCAGGTGACTATAGTCTCAGCTACTTGGGAGGCTGAGGCAAGAGAACCACTGCCACATAGTTACCATTCAATAAAAAAAAAAAATAATAAGAGAACCACTGCCCAAGAGTTTATAATTACTGTGAGCTGTAATGCCACAACACTCTACTGAGGGTGACATAGTGAGACTGTCTCAAAAAAATAAATAAAAATTAAAAATGAAATAAAATCGAATCACTTGGGAGGCCCTCCCATACAGGTAAAGGAGCTGTTTCTAAAGCTCCCTCCCTATTGAGTTTTTGAAATTATACTCTGGTTATGCTCCATTCACCTTTTCAGACCCCTTTATCCCTCCTCGACCCTGGTCTATGCCCTAGGAGGCTGACATCTGCAGACTCTGTCACCCAAGGAAAATTAGAGGATGGGAAGAGAGAGGGGTCAGAATCCTGATTCCTCCCTCGCTGCTGGGTGTAACTTTGGCTGTGGTCGCGTTCTCCTCCTACTGAAGGAGCTTCTACTGAGAAGTTCCTCATCATCCACTACCACTTTCCCTGGGCTCTGGTCTGTTACTCCTGCAGGCCTGGGATGGCAACAGCTTCCCACTGTGCTAATTTCCAGGGTGCCGCATTCTCCTCCTGGGTTTCTCTTACCCCTGTC